AATACACCAAATTTCCTGCTTGCTTGAGGCACAAATGCATTCGACTTCATCAGCTCTTGCACAATTTTAGTTCTATCAGTGGCATCCGACTTTTTCGTATGTTTTCCTGACCTCTTAATTATGCAGGTTGATTCATCAAAGTCTTCGAGCAAACTCTTTGTGAAACTTAATGCTTTCATGTACCTTTGTAATGTATGTTTGTTAGTCTGATTAGGACCTAACTTTCTCTTGAGAAGTCTAACAATTCGGATGTAATGTTCCATCGCCAGATCTATAGGAATATTACCCCCTAGACCAGTCTTTCTTTTGACGCTGCGATTCCATACCAAACGATAAGCTTCGCGAGGTGATAACAGACATTTGATCTGAAAAAGAAGGTATAAACCTTCCAAGCAATATTTACGACTGGATGCGCCGTCCGCTTTTAAATACAATAAGAACAACTTCCAGCAACGCACAATTCGAGGCCCATCTCTTTCAGATGTCGCATCGGTAAAATTTCTCCAGAACATCAAATACTCCAATAATGAACACTGAAAATTGTACATGTCATCATTATCAATAGGGTCATCCGTAACCATGGACCTGACTGCATGCTGAATACCATGTACTTTCCGTTCGTGATCCTTCTTCCGCTTTCCATTATATTGAAATAATTTCGTGCAAGAAAGTTCTTGACATTTAAACTTTCCATCGTCGGTTTTAACAATTTTTGAAAGTTCTTCTTCTAAATCAACTTTTTGTTGCACTGCTCGAATGACTGCCTCCTTATTAATTATAAATTTATCAACAACCGTTCCAGAAAGCTTGTGAAGGAATTGTTTTTTATCAGTTTTACTTCCATTTTTTAAGGAGCTAGGAAGAATATCTTCGTCTGGTTGATCATCCAAATTTTGTACATCTAGAACTGTTAAGGTAGCAGCTAACACCCTAGATTCAAGTTCCACCTCAAGAAATTTTCTACATGCAGCATATCTTTTTTTGACTTCAGTTGTTACATTTCGTCTATTAATAAGTACCTTGTCGCTACATCGATCATTGCAGCCAGCCTTGTAGAAGTTATCCATACACAACTAAAAGTGAAGGAAACGTAAAATCACAACATTAGATAAACAGCCATGACTACTGTAAAGCCTGCTCTCCACTACTCCAGTCACATCAGGCCTCGAAATAAATCTGGACGTTATACCGGTCATTATGACCATCACTAAATTTACCGGTCACAGCGCAATTTATGCCGGTCATTGTCACTCCTTAGCTTCTTCTTTCCCCTCATCTTTCGTGTGACTCGTAACTTTAGAAACAATTGTGTATTTGTATACAAATTATTATTGTATTTGTATATTATTGTATTTGTATACAAAGTACAAGTATGGCGTTTATCAAAGCTGTAGTACAGTAGTAATCACTGCAAATGACAACTGTAGTTTGAGTTGCAAGCACGCTTTCAGGCTGCATTCCAGTTACGCGTTTTTCACTATACGTGCGTAAGCACACGTAAAAGTTGAAATCGCTTTACTTATTAAATATAAGCATTCAGTTTTGTGTATGATTTAATGTGTATTTGTTAAGGTTATTTGCACTTATATGAAATTTTAAAAGATTTAAACTTTTCCGTCGCATGTGTGAAAATTAAACGCGTAACTGGAAAACATGCAGCCCTTTAGGCACAATGTTGCTGTATGTCGTATCTGTATGACACATTGTGTCACTTCGCCACCCTTATTAGCCAGCACCGTAGACGGACATACACTTCTTTGGAAAATTGGAAATCAAAAATATGCTCCATTTTTGAACATACTTTTTTATAGTTAAAAAATTTACCGATCACGCATGTCCACCAGGCGACGATATTTGCAGGTCAAACTGTGAAATTTTACTGGTCAGTGACCGGTGACCGGCACTTATTTCGAGGCCTGAGTCACATGTTTTTCATATGTGCGTATACACACTGAAAAGTTTAAATCTTTTTATATTTAACACTAGTATGAATTACCTGTACAAATGCACATTGAATCATTCACAAAACTGTATGCTTTCCTTTTATTCATTCAGTTATTTCCTAAGTAACATTTAAAAAGATTTAAACTTTTCTGTGCGTATACGCACGTATGTAAAACCTGTGACTGGAGAGCAACCTTAGGTCATATATTTCTAAAATTCATTATATTAGAATACCTGCATAAATTTCATTTCCGAGTGAAAATCTGCAGCTTCAAAATGCATGTTTTCAAATCTTTGTTCAGGTGTGAAGCCATTAGCTAACTGAAATTTGGCATTAGTCCCCCTTTCCACGGACAGTTGATCACCAACGACAATCTGTTCTTTGTACTCTCTCTGCTCGTCATCACCTGCAAACGCCTGATACTTCTGCAAACTTTTCATTATGTCAATGATTCCATCATTGTCATTTTCATTTGCAGGTAACACATCAAGAAAGGTCTGTAATTCAAGCAGGCCAAACAGATTTTTTAAGTTAATGGTAAAAACACATTTAAATAAACAGATTAGCCAATTATCAGGAGATGGTCATGAAACTCATCATTTTTCAGGTATTTGAATCCATACACATAGGACGCTTTCCATTTAATGGCCTAACCGGTCAGACCTGAATCTTTGTGTCCACATCGATGTAAAGATCTGGTCTTTTCCGGTGAGGTAGGTCAGAAGCCCGTACATTTTGTGTTCCATTCAACATTCTGACTGTGTTAATAGAAAGCGCCCATATACACTTCAATTTGATCTCATAAACTGCTCATTATACTTTTGACATACCATGTGGCATTTCTTCTTGTGCCATTTCTCTGGAAAGTGCATGGATGATGTGTTTGACAATGTCATTTTTCAGAAACTGAAGACATTTAATATCAGCAGTAATAATTCTCTCCACCAATATCAAAAGGTTGTCACGGTGTAAGTCATATTCCTCTCTGCTGCATAGTAGGTTTGCATTTTCAAGATCTTTTAATGATCCCTGTGGACTATCCATACTTAGAACATTGTTGGTTACACGGTTTGGAACAAAAGCTATGGCACATTCATGGGTATCAATATTTTGGTATTCTTCAGTCATGTCATGGACTTCCACATGAGTGTCAACATTGTCAAAACACAGCTGTAACGTATAATAAAATTTTTAAACAAAACTCAGGATCAATACCTATCGTGTTAAATCATAAAAAAATTCACTAGATGATGTTAATTGCAATTCTAAGCTAACAAGAGTGAAGAATGATTAATTACTTTAAATCCTTTAGAATCAATTTCTTCTGTATCAATTTTACTATCAAAAGTAATTTCTTCAGCAGCACCTATCTTATCAGGATATTTCTGAATGGCTGGACTGGATTCTAAATAAATCAAGAATATTGAAGATTATTAATGTCAGTTGAAACACATAGTTACTAACATACACTGTATCTAAAGGATATCCATCTTCCATAAATTTACCGGCATTAGGAAGTAATCAAGAGAAACAAAAAAATACAGACTTCTAGTATTATTCTAATTTTAATCTATTGCTGATAGATTTTGCTTATCAATAAAGTCTACAATAAACCTAGCAAAATAAACAATCAACAATAAACCTAGTAAAATAAACAATTAACAATAAACCTTAAAACCTTAAGTTTCCACAATATATTTGTAAAAACAACATAATTTATTTTTTATAAAAAATTAGCAAATCATTACACTTACGATGACATTTCTTCATCATAGGAATGGAAAAATCAATTTCTATATCTGGTAATGGTTTCTCTGCAATCAAAGCCAAACGCTTTGCACAAATCAACTTTGACGATTAAAACATTTCTAAATGGTTATCATGCAGCTTCAGGGTTTTGCTGGTTTACTGATGTAGGTTGTTGCGCAGGAATTTTCTTCTGCAACACTTTCCTTTCAACTTCTAACATCTGATTAATAGCTTCGTCATGGCTTTCGCCAAATTCATCTAACTTCTTGTTAAAGTAGGTGTATGAAACTGCCAACCTCATTGTTTTTAAACGAACCAATGTAGACTATTGAAAGAAAAATTCAATTAATGGCATGTCACATACTGTAACCATCCAACTTCCATTTTAATACAGTGCTAATGATTATTGGGAGGGCATGCATAATGCACTTTCACCTGGAAGAGGAACTTTATAGATGATTGAAACACAATGCAATTTTGAAAAAAAGGCAAATCAACTTCCTGCTATTTGCTTGGTATTTACCAACCCCTTGTGCAGAAAGCATCAAATATTCTCTCCCATGCAGGGGAGGGTTATTATTGTCAAATTCCCAACCAATGGGAACATAAGAGCTGTCAAATCCCTCCCCCCCCCCTCCCCTGAGGGCTTAACATTGATAGGTGCATTACCTAATAGAAAGCTTCACGATTGAATACACAGATTCTTACCGTATATGAAGAATGGTTGATTATCAAAGATATCAACAATTGAACAGTTGTCATTCTCTGCGATCGGTTTTTTAGACAGACAGAAGCAGCAGTAACAATGGAGGTGGACAGATAAACATCACTGTTTACTTTGTCCATCATGTTGTGCGGTCTTGAAGCAGCCTTTAAAATCCTCCAAAATAGTGGGCAACGCTCTTGCAACTCCTCATTTGCCTTTTCAAATGTGAAATTCATAATGTCCTCCTTGCTTGTCCTTTTTAATATACTACGGACATCCCTTTTTACAAATTTCTTTATATTACCAGCAACTACATTCTGATTATCAGCCTTTCTCTTTTGTGATGATTGAAAAAGGTCCCTTCTACTTTTTGGTTTAGTCTGGGCATTATTTTGACCATCAGCTGGAACCTTAATGGATTCTCGACACATCTCGTGGCACTCTTTATGTACCTCTTTCTCAATTAATGGTAGAATCGCAGCTCTTAACAGGGGATGTTTCAATGCAAATTTTGCAATATTTTTGTTTTGTGTACGAAGAAGGTAGATATAGCTATTTTTGTAAGATCTGGGGGAAGTTTCCTGCTTCGATCACCACTCGGCCAGCAAACATGTACGTACGCGACTGTATCGCTGGAATTGTTGGCATCATGTGGAAATGACAAATTGGTCTGACATTCTTTGCTGTCCGATTCTTTAAATTGCAAATGTTTTCCCAACGAATTAGATTTTTCGTTCGTATTTGACGTTGTTGAAATAGCTGTACCAGATTTATCACAGATACCTTTAAGTTCGTCTTCAATTTTGCGTGTTTTCGCCTTGCTCTGAACATATGATTTCAACTTAGCTTTACACGTTCGGCACACGTACAGTGATGTATTTACGATTGAAAAAGACAGTTGACATATAGCATCAATTGGCCGAAATTCTCCAGAGCCATTAATAACATTGAAATCAAGTTGACTTTTTAATTCTATGGAACACAATCTACAAGATTTCATTTTAATCTACAACATTTATACTCTGATTCACTCTCTGTCGGCCGCCATGTTTGTTAGTGCATAAATTATAATTAAA